TTTTTTTTTCTTGTTCTTTACTTTCTTTCTGCCTCCCCCCTCCCTTGTTCCCCTTCCCATTTGAACATTTTCTTCACATTTCCCAACATCTGTTGTACATTTTAGTCCTCATTTCCACTTTTGGTTTCTCACACCAGAAAAACAATGCAGTATTTAAACACGTGTGTCCAATTTATTTCATTTAAGAGTATGGTCTCAAGGTCTGTCCATTTAGCTATAAATGTCTGAAGCTCATCCTTCTTTATGGCAGAGTAGTACTCCATTGTATGAAAAAAACACATCTTTACCCATTCATCGGTTGATGAGCATTTAGGCTGTTTCCAAGATTTAGCTATTACAAACTGTAAGCTGCACCATTCTTAAAGAAAAAAATGTAGAAGAAATTTCTTTCTGGAATGATTGTGATTTGTCTTTTCCTAATAATGTCTTCATGGAGTGGAATGCATATGTATACATCAAATAAATGAAATCACAATTTGTGATTTTTTTCCCCAAAATACCTGTTACCATAGAATCATCAGGAAGAAAAGATTGCTAAGAGCATGCAAAATTGTCTCTGGTGTTTTAATTTTTAAAATCTCTCCAGCGATGGGGGCATTTCCTGGTATTCTAAGGAAGCATTATTAGATTCAGTAGTCATAGGTTTTGGGGGTTTGTTTTTCTGACTTCGGTCCTTAGGATCAAGCCCACCCCATGCTAGGCAAATGCTGTACTGCTTTGCTACACCCCAGCCTCAATATTACTAAGCCTTCCACTTAAATTTTCTCATCTTATCACTCAGGAATCCTGTTGATGAGCTAGTTTAGCCCCTTCTTCATATGAATGTTGAGTCCTGATTGACAGGTACTTAAACAGTATTTGAAAAGTATTTGAACACTTTTAAATCTTCAGTCTTGATAATGATGGCTTTACTTTTTTATCCTAGATCCTTTCTTCAATTTTTGTTTTTTGAGACAGGATCTTGCTATGTAGTTCAGGCTGACTTTGAGCTCACTATGTAGCCCAGGCTGGCCTCAAACTCATAGCGATCCTTCTGTTTTAGTTTCCTGAGTGTGCTGGGATTAAAGGCATGCACTACGAAGTCTGGCAACCTTTCCTCAATTTTTAACTACCATCCCATATAGTATAAATAGGAAATTAGAACTATTGGTATATGCTATTTATAGGGGAATAGGAAAGCAATGTGAATTTTGAAATAGGGTTTTACATTTCTTTTCTTATGTCATACTGGTAATTAAAAATGCCTAATTCTCTCCTCTCTTTTTTTTTTTTTGGTACTGGGGATTGAACTCAGGTCCTTGCACTTGCGCAGCAGGCGGCAAATCCACTGAGCTAAATTCCTGGCCCAAAGAACTTTTTTTTTTTTTTGGTGCCCGGGATTGAACTCGGGACCTTGTGCTTGCGAGGCAGGCGTCGGAACCTCTGAGCTAAATCCCTGGTCCAAAAATACCTAATTCTGTAAACCATCAGCATTTCTTTTCTACAATTTAAAACTTTTTTTTTTTCTTTTTTTGGTAGTGGGGATCAAACTCAAGACCTTTCATTTGCAAGGCAGGCAGTGTCGCTGAGCTAAATCCCTGGCCCCTTTTTTTCCTTTTTTGAGATGGGGTCTTGTTATGCTTCCCAGGTGGGCTTCACACTCCTGGGCTGAAGTAATCATCCCACCTGAGCCTCCCACAGAGCTGCGAACACAGGTGCACATCACCATGCCTGACTTACATTGAAAACTTACAAGATTTGCTTGTAAACAGGAATCTTTTTGCAAATTTTTAAATATGGTATTTTAGAATTAAATCTCTTTATTAAATTTAAAAATTCATATTAGCATAAGATCCCATAAATAAATATTTGTATATAT